TAAATGTTATGTGTTTAGCATAACAATATTAAGTAAACTTTAATATTAAAGTCGCAGTCATTTTCTNAAAGTATAATATGTGTTTGAAAATGTATAAATTTAAATGTTATGTGTTTAGCATAACAATATTAAGTAAACTTTAATATTAAAGTCGCAGTCATTTTCTTTTATCTTTTTATATATGAGAAGACAAACTTTTAAATTTGTTGAAATGATGGAACAGTTTAAACCTTTTAATTAAATAATATAATATGTTTTAATACACTATAATTAACATGCAAAGAACGACATTTTTAAATCTATGACGCTCAGTACCTCCATACAAACTGAGTTAGAAAAACAAAAAAAAAAATTGGACTTTATCAGAAGAAGAATAAGAGATTACAAAAAAAATAGGTTGTTTTCTTACAGCCAGATTGGTTTGGATATGGTAGTTTAATTTCGCTGAAACTAAACCTATTAAATTATTTTTGCAGACACCACATTAAATTTTTAAAGATCGTTTAAAACTATATAATGAATCAAACATTATATTCAAGAGTACTAAGAATCATACTTATATTAGAAAAAAACACATAAATCTTCTTTAAAAATTGCATTTGTAAAACATTCTATTTATAGTAATATGAAAAGGTACATTGATAGATTATCAAGAGTTGTGTTTTGTTTTAAAATGAATATTTTCAAGAGTTGCGAGGAAAAAAAAGTTCAACCAAATACATTTTCAGGACCATTAGATAGAACCATAATAATTACAACCACGAGACTGAAACTCTTCAAAATTTTTTAAAAAAATCAAGAATTAGGGAAAAGTATGACTCTTCAAATTAAAGAGGTGTGTTGTTTGAAAAAAAATAACTGCTCATAGCAATTTTAATTTAAGTATAAAACAAATATTAAGACCAATAGAAGAAAAAAAACAATTATAACCAAAGATTGTAATCCTTCAAATATGAAAAAGTATGACTCTTTCATGTAAAAAGATGTGTTGTTTAAAAAAGAATATGTTAATGCCATAAATATCGTATGTCTAAAAAACATTTCTTAGGACAATTGCATGAAAAACAAAACAATGGTTGAAAAATTGTATCTTTTCATAATAAACTGAAATATATTAGTTTAAAAGTTGCATCTTTCATTATAAAAATAATTGTGTATTTTTTATAAAAAAAATTGTTGAAAGGTTGTATCTTTTCATAAGAACCGAATTATATTAGTTTAAAACTTGCATCTTTTTGTTATAAATAGAATTGTCTAGTTTCATAAAAAGTTATCTATTATTTTAAAATTTTCATCTTTTCATTATTAAAAAAAGTTTATGTTTCAGATAAAATAGTTTAAAAGTATTTAAAAGAGGGTATAAGAATTGTGTCTTCTCAAAATAACAATTGTCGAAAGGTTGTATATTTTCATAAAAAAATTAAATATATTAGTTTAAACATTGCATCTTTTCATTATAAAAATAATTGTGTATTTAAAAAATCTATTATTTTTAAAGTTGCATAAAATTTTTATTTGGACCATTAGATGAAAAACAAAAGAATTGTTGAAAGGTTGTATCTTTTCATAAGAACTGAAACATATTAGTTTCAAAGTTGCATTTTTTCATTATAAAAACTATTGTGTCTCACAAAAAATAATTTAAAATAGTTATAAGAGTTGTGTCTTCTCATAATAAAAATCTATTAATTATAACAATCTTGATTAATTTTAAAGGCTGTGAATGCCGAATAAAAAGAAAATTGAGACTCTTAATAAAAATGTCTATTACTGTGAAAGGTTGAAAATACAAAATAAAATGAAAAGTTGTGTCTATTTAAAGAACTGAAATATATTAGTTTTAAAGGTTGTGTATCTTTTCATAAGAACTGAAATATATTAGTTTAAAAGTTGCATCTTTTTATTATAAATAGAATTGTGTCCTTTTATAAAATAATTTCTACTATTTTAACAATTCCATCTTTTCATTATAAAAAAAGTTTGTGTCTCATAAAAAATATTATAAAAATATTTAAAAGAGGTTGTAAGAATTGTGTCTTCTCATAATAACAATTTTTGAAAGGTTATATCTCTTCATTAAAAATGAAATATATTAGTTTAAAAGTTGCATCTTTTCATTATAAAAACAATTGTGTCTCAGAAAAAAATAATTTAAAAATATTTAAAGTAGTTATAAGAGTTGTGTCTTCTCATAATAAAAATCTACTAATTATAACAATCTTGATTAATTTAAAAGTCTGTGAATGCCAAATAAAAAAAACTGAGACTCTTAATAAAAATTTCTATTAGTGTGAAAGGTTGAAAATACAAAATAAAATGAAAATTTGTGTCTCTTTAAAGAAATAACTGAAAGATTGTGTCTCTTAATAAATAAAATTAGAGGTTGTCTCTTAATAAAAATCACAACTAATTCTAAAGGTTGTGAATGTCAAATAAAATAAAAATTGTGTACCTTGATAAAAAATCCCAATTAATTCTAAAAGTTGTGAATGTCAAACAAGATGAAAGTGAATGTCAATCAAGNTTGATAAAAAATCCCAATTAATTCTAAAAGTTGTGAATGTCAAACAAGATGAAAGTGAATGTCAATCAAGATGAAAGCTTGTGACTCTTAATAAAAATATCAATTAATGTGAAATGTTGTAAATGTAAAATAAAATGAAAGTTGTTTCTCTTAATAAATAAAATGAAAGGTTGTGTCTCTTAATAAAATAAAATGAAAAACTGTGTCTCTTTATAAATAAAATGAAAGGTTGTGTGTCTTAATAAAAATACTAATTAATTCTAAAGTTGTGTATATTAATAAAAATGCCAATTAATGTGAAATATTGTAAAGGAAAAATAAAATGGAAAGTTGTGCCTCTTTAAAAAAATAAAATGAAAAGTTGTGTTTCTTAATAAATAAAATGAAAGGGTCTGTATCTTAACAAAAATCTCAATTAATTCTAAAGATTGTGATGCCAAATAAAATAAAAAGTTGTGTATCTTAATAAAAATCTCAATTAATGTGAAAGGTTGCGAATGCCAAATAAAATGAAATGTGGAGTATTTTTGAAAAATATATTTTATGATTTGTTAAATACCCTTAAAAGTGTCTTTTAAGGAGACAAATAAATAATTAACCTTCTCTGATTATTTTTATATTTAATTTTAAAAATGGTTTGCATTTATATTTGGCATACAAACTTTATAAAGTGGTTTCATAATTTGTTTAACACAATACACCTTGGATTGTATATTCATTTCTATAGGTGTGTAGTATTTATCATCAGGAGTCATGTCTTTCCATTTTTCAAAAAAAAAAAAATTGATATTAGTGTCTATGTGCTTTCATTACCATACATATGAATGTATATATTTTTATACTTATTACAAGGTACAATAAAACTTTAAGGCTGTTTCATATACACTTCTTTTTGAGCCATCGATCCATATCATGGATCATAGTCCATAGCAACCGACCATGAACAATATGTTTACCACTCATGATGGCT